CCTGGGATCGAGCCCCGCATCGGGCTCCCTGCTCAGCGGGAAGCCTGCTTCTCCCTCTCCCACTCCCCCTGCTTGTGTTCCCTCTCTCGCTGTATCTCTCACTGTCAAATAAATAAAATCTTTAAAAAAAAAATCTATTTGTTGTTTATCAGAAATTCAAATTTTACTGAGTGTCCTATCTCAGCTTTTAAATCTAGACCCTCTGCTAGTCTGTCATATATTACTTGCTCCACAATAAATTGTCACATGGTTTTCCACCTGACTAGAATGTATGAATCCACGTTGTTTTGCCCATAGAAGTTTGTTCATGCTTTTATAATGGCATTTAATATCATGATATCTGATATATTTGTGAGCTTCCAACAAGCAGAGATAATGTCCTATTCATCTTTGCACCCACAGCACATACAAAATGTCTTTACTTTAAAAAACAATCAGTTAACCTTGTTGACTAGATTACTATTTTGTTTGCTGCTCCTTTTGATTTAGGACTAGCCTTTGAAAGAAAGAACACAATAGTAACAATAACTAATATTTCTTGAGTGTTCTCTATATTCCAAGCATTAATCGATGTATTATTTCTGCTCTAATGTGGTATGTGAATTGTAGCAAAACCTCAGATTCTTCACAATCATGCATTAAAAATATAAGACAAAGAACAGGAAACTCAAATCATATGCATTTTTGTAATCAGAGTGCCAACAATTATAAAAATTCTAATAATTATACTAGAGCATATACAAGACAGGTTCATTTCTAATAAGTAACAAAATACTACAGTAGATATAATACTTTACATTAGAATGAATAAAATGGAGGAGAGACTTGATATAAAAGGTACAAGGAAGTGCTATGGTTGTTTAGTTGTGGAGCCATGAGAAGAGTGTACAAATCTGGTGGAACTATGAAATAAGCATATCCAGGAGAGATTATGGTGCTAAACTGAGCAACAAAAAGAGCATGAGATGATTGGGTATCATGGAAAGTATTGCATTGTATTACAGTTTGCTGTTTCCAGTTGTGTATTTCACTTTGAGTGTGATTGCCTTTATCTGGAGGAACAAAAAATATATTTTAAAAACGTTAGGCAAGGGGCGCCTGGGTGGTTCAGCCAGTTAAGCCTCTGCCTTAGGCTCAGGTCATGATCTCAGGGTCCTGGGATCAAGCCCCACATCCTTCTCCCTGCTTAGCAGGGAGCCTGCTTTTCCTCTCCGTTTGCCATTCCCCCTGCTTGTGCTCTCTCTCTCTCTCTCAAATGAATAAATAAAATCTTAAAAAATAAATAAATAAAGTGCTATTTTAAAAAATTAAATGTTAGAGAAAATGTAGTATGGACAAATTCTTTGTTATAGTAACATCATTCTTTATTTACCAATTGCATATAAGCTATTTTACATTATAGAAACCCATTAAGGTGCTGATTTCATGAGCTAATGTTTCCAAAAAGGCTATGCACTTAAGAACTAGTTTTTATTATTATTTTAAGGAGAAAATATCTAGGGAAAAAAATAAAGTTTTGTAACATGTCCATGGGAGTACAACTAATAAAATTGGAGCCAAGGTTCCAATCTAGACCATTGGAAGGCATAATCCTCACTGTTATCTATGAAGATGTGTTTGCATTTTTGAATGGTTGTTCTTCTATTGAAGTTGTAAGTATTGATGTTAATATTTCAAAATTCCATGATTCATAGGCCTAGAAACATAAAAAATTCCATCTTTATGTCCTCATGCTATCTACAGAACATAACATGAAATTTAACATGTTGATTCCATCTTTTTTTCTAAAGTATCCTTTTTTGAACTACAGTATTGTAATCTCAAAATGTTAAAGTTGGTTTGTAATTTAATAATAGTTATGACACTCAGATCTTATTTATCAAATTTGATGCCTTCAGATCTATAGAGATAAACCCTTGACAGCCGTGTGTAAATTTTATAAACTTTTCTCTGCTTCAAGCCAATTTGGCCATTGCTGGAAATATTATTCAAGTAGAGCAATCATATTCTATTTCTCTGAAATTCAGAATTTTGATTGATGCTTTTCACTCACTTTTTGATATGATTAGCATTATATTACACAAATTTAGGAAAAGTGAAGCAATTACATCCTATCACATGAATAAAAAAAAGCAGAAAAACCAATGTACAATATTTAAGAAGAATGAGGCATATTTTCAGAGAGAGGAGAGGACAACAGACAATACATCTGTATTTTCTCACTTATTGATAGTTTTCTAGTTCCTGGTTCCATCCAAGATTTAGCTAATCTTTTGCTCTTAGTTTATAAGAACCACTATACATCACTAGGAAAGGCTTTTTTTTTTTTTTAAGAAGGGATACACAAAAATATTTTAAATAATGTTTTCTTTCAAATGCACATGCTATTTCATTACTTAAAGAAATTTTAAATGATAAATTAAATATAATTTTATAGTACCTAGGTTGATCAACATTAAATATTAATGGCATAAAAGAATAATTTGTGTGAAGATAAATTACATTATGTGAATTCAGGAGTTCTTTGCTGCATTAAATTAAAGCAAACAAACAAGAAAAACCTTATGCTACATACCCAGATATTTTTCTTGAAATCTTACAGAAATTCCTCATAATACTTGGTAATAAAAACTGACTCTCTTTATGGAAAAGGAACTTACTAACTATATATTTTTATATACAAAGGGCTTTAAAGCCCAAGACTAAACATTTTAAACAGGCCAAAAATAGTGACTTATCTTGAAAGAAATCCAACACTGCTAGTTTTTGGCAGCGGGGAAAATATTTTCTACTAGAATTTGTTTTTTTTGTCTCAAAAAATGTCATGATTGTTCTTGATAATTTACATTAAAAATGAAATCCTTAAATATTCTTTGAAGTTTTATTTTATCATTTCAAAAAGTATACAATGTTATGCTTTACAATACGTCTTTGATTATACTTACCATAGTGCAAATTATATATTATACAGTAAAATCAAGGTTTGAATGTAATTTTCTTTGATATCAAGTTCAAATCTGCTGATTTGTCTTATTATAAGATGAAAGACAGACACATGGAAAGAAGTAAGAATGCATGATTTATTCCAGTTCAAAAAACAGAACACAAACTCTACAAAGCTGATGAGGAGATTTTTCAGCAGCAGTAGACAGTAGGTGTCTGTCAGAAGCAACATTTGAGCAGCCTGACGCCTGCTTCAACACATCATTTTCAAAGTAAAAAGAACCAGTGAATCCAACCAAATGGGTTATCTTCCTTCTCTGTTTTGAACTGTCTTGCCATTGGCAGTGTGAGTCTCCTCAAGCAGCTCTATAAGCTAATAAGAGCTTTAAG